GGGGGGCCCCCTGAGCCCCTGCGGGAGGCCTGAGCACTGGTCCCCCACCCTGGGCTCCTGGGTCAGGTGAGCCTAGCTTCTGTCACAGGGAGACCGACACCTTCCTTTCCTCCGGTGAAGCCCTGATTGGGCCCCAAAAGGAAGGAGCTCCCCTCCCCCCATGAGATTGGCCAGAGCAGGGTCTCAGGGCACGGCCGCCCTTGGCCCTCCCGCCTGGCTCTGCGGAGTGTGGCCGCCTCGATCCTCAGGGCGAGGAGAGAGCAGGGGTGCTGGCCGCTGGCCAGGGCCTTCCACACTTTCGGGGGTAGCAGGGCTGGGCCCAGAAGTTTCCTTATGACCTCAGGTCCCATCCTGAGTGGGATATGCCGGGTCAGTCCTGTCCACTGGCCAGAGTGCGCTCCCCAGTGCGGTCACTCTGCCGCCCTCACCTCCCAGGCAGGGCCTCCACCCTCGGGGTTCTGGACCGGTAGCTACGGTCTCTGCTCCGGATTATCCTGCTTGACCCAAAGGAGACACTTTGCACCCTTTGGTCGGAATTTCTCCCAGGATGGGGGCCGCTCGGGCTGGGAGCCTGGCGCCAGCTCCGCACGCGGCAGCAGCAGCGCGAGGCCGCTCTGGCTGCGGGTCCGGGCGGGCTCTTCGCTCCGGGCTCACCAGCCACCAGCCACTCTTCCAAGTCCTACTCGACGGCTGCATCTTCCTCACTTGGCATGAGAGTGGACTACACTTCAGAACCCTCCTGAGGGTTATTGCCAAAGTGTGTGTGTGTGTGTGTGTGTGGCGGGGGGGGGGGGGGGGGTGCGGGTATGACAGCTCCCTGCCCACACCTGCCCTCGCAGTTAGAATGGCTCCAGGGGGCAAGACGGAGGCCTTGGGCAGACCCTGCTGGCTGGAGAGGCAGACGGAGCGGGGGCACAGCCAAGCTCAAGCTGGCATCACTGTCCCTTCGCTCTCGCTCCACCCCCTCTGCCCTCTGCCAGCCAGCAGCCCCACCTCCTGTGCCCCAGAGTCCGACTGACGAGGTGGAAAGGGTCCCCAAGACCTGCCCTCTAGACGGTCAGCAAGGGGCCGGAGCCTCTGGCTGCTCTGAGGCTGGGCACAAAGGCCAGCCGGCGTGGGGACGGGCTCCCAGGGACAGAGCTGCGGGAGGTCTGAGCTCACCATCACCGTCCGGGTCAGCCTTGATCGCAGAGTACATCTCCTGAATGTTCTCTGGCGTCATCCAGCGTCCATTCCCCAGGCGAGTCTGGGCCAGGACCTGAAGCACATGGTCCCCCATGAGGTGGCCCCGCGATGGAGCGCCCCCAGAGCACAGCCACCCAGCGTCGCTGTGGGGCTGAGGGCTCGGGGGGAGGACATGGGTGAGGACAGAGGACCAGCCTCAAGTCCCTTTGCTGATGACAATAGGTGGAGAGGTCCAGTGGCATCTGGGAGGCCAGGAAGGCAGTCAAGAGCCCTGAGGGCCATGGGCATCCTGTTGGGCCAGGGACCCCACACCTCGCCAAGTCCTCTCTCAGAAGCTGGGTGAGGGCCGTGCAGAGAGGCGGACCCTGGCCACCTCGAAGCTGCCACTCCACGCACCACGAGCTCCATGGGCTCCCAGCATGGCAGCCAGGAATCCAGACCTGTCACAGGGGCAGGACACCCGGGGACTGTGGCCACACGTGCCATCACCGCCCGGTGGGTCCTCCTGCTCCTTCTGGGGTTCCCGGGCAGCGAGGACCTATGTCTCCAGGGAAGGAGGGGCCCCTGGGCCTGGGCACGCTCATCTGCGGGACCATCTGCGGGGCCAGGGCCGAGCAGGACAGGTACCCCGGCCACAGGAACCATCTGCAGCACCCCCACCCCTCCCCGCACCACCCACCCCTCCCCACGCTGCTCCGGGCCCAACCTCACGGAGCTGCAGGCGGCCGTCCCGGTTCTGGTCCAGCAGCCGGAAGAGGTCCAGCTGGCTGACCTGCATGGTGCCCAGGGCCTCCTCGTACTCCTCGGTGGGCAGGATCTGGCTGCGCTGTAGCCCCTTCATCTGTGCCAGGTGGATGATGAGCCGACACTCCTCGTCGCGCAGGAAGCCCGGGACTTCTGCCAGGAGAGGAGGCGGGTGAGGCCAGGGCACAAGCCTGGCACCTTCCTCTCTGCGGGGTCCCCCACGCCCTGGTGGGCTCAGGTCAGCACGTCTCACCCCCCTGTATGTCTGCTCTGGGCGCCCTGCAAGGTCGGCAGCGTTTGGGAGGTGGGCCCCCCTCTCTGATGCTGAGAGCACGTCTCCCAGGGGGTCCTGGGAGCGAGCTGGAGCCGAGCTGGGCCTGGGCTGACCCGCCCTCGGAGGGAACCGAAGGCCAGAGGGTGAACCTGAAGGGCAGAGGGCGGCCTCCACTGCTTACTTGGTATATATTTTACTTTATTTTATTATTTTTTATTGATTTTAGAGAGGCAGGGAGAGGGAGAGTTAGAAACTTCAATTATGAGCCCGGCCGGCATAGCTCAGTGGTTGAGCATCGACCTGTGAACCAGGAGGTCACGGCTCAATTCCCGGTCAGAGCACAAGTCCGGGTTTCGGGCTCCATCCCCAGTGTGGGGCACGCAGGAGGCAGCCGATCAATAATGCTTTCTCTCTCATCATTGATGTTTCTATCCCTCTCTCCCTCTCTTTCTCTGAAATCAATAAAAGTATATTTTTTAAAAAGTCAAATGATGAGAGGGAATGGTTGATCGGCTGCTTCCTGCACGCCCCCTATGTGGGCATGCGCCCTGCCAGGCACCGAATGGTGACCTCCTGATTCATGGATCGATGTTCAGCCACTGACCCGCACCAGCCGGGCCTGGGCATATATTTTACAAGTGGAGGATGATGGCTGGGTTTTGCTTTCATTTGTACTTTCCAGCCTCATTCAATACAAACAAACAAACAGCAGGTCACGCTGCTCTCCAGGCCCCTCCTTGCCCGCCTGCTGCTGCACAAGCAGACGCTGGTCATCGGATCGGGCCGAGTCGCCCGGTGCTGGGAGGCCAGTGGGGGTCGCTCAAGTCGTTGGCAGGAGCTCTGAGCAGGTACCCCCGGTGTTCTTTGCTTTGGGGACAAATGTACCCTGAACGCTGCTCCATGCCTCCCAGCTCCCGAGTCAGGCCGGGCTTGGCCCAGGGGCTGGCCGCCCCCACGCCAGCCCCACAGCAGCCTGGTGGAGCTAAACATGGGCCTCAGGGCTGGGAGCCCATCGCGGTGGCCCAGGCACCTCCACAACAGGAGGTGGGGCCCTGTTTCATTCCCTTGTTTCTGGGAGAGAGGACTTCCTTAGTCAGAGGCACTGATCGGAGGAAGGGCCACCTCCACCACCACCTCCACCACCCAGGGCCCCTCAGGGCGGCTGCTGCTGCTCTGGGTCATCGCCCAGAGGAAGGGAAACGGCCACTCAGCCAGGATTCCAGTGTGTGTGTGTGTTTTGTGTTTTGTTTTGTTAATCCTCACCCAAGGATATTTTTCCCATTGATTTTTAGAGAGAGAAGGGAAGGAGAGGGAGAGAGAGAGGGAAACACTGATGTGAGAGACATCAATGAGGGGCCAGGAATTGAACCTGCAACCCAGGCCTATGACTGGGAATCGAATCCAAGGCCCTTTGGTGCGCAGGCCAACACCCTACCCACTGGGCCGTGCTGGCCAGGGCTCGAGTGGTTTTCAATCGCGATCAGGTAGCAGAGTGCGGCCTGTCCCAGGCACACCCTCAAGGCCTTAGTCTCATACTTATCCTAAGAGCCAGGCCCCATTAAATGCCCTCCCTAACCACAACCAACCCCAAGCACAGAGACATCACCCTGATGGAGTCAAAAGGGCCCCCAGGCCAGGCTGTCACACTCTAGAATCCATGTTCACTCCCAGGGGTAGGTGACTCGGTGGCGATGACGCTGGGGACAGGACCAAGACCCCCACACCCCAGCAAACCCAGGATGGGTGTGCGCCATCCACAGGGACAAACTGCTAATGTTCAGAGTCGCTCCTGACAGCTTGAAAAATAAACAAACTGGAAGGAAAAGCCAAAAAAAGAAAAAGAAAAGCCAGCAGAGGCCCAGCTTCGTCCGTTTAACCTCAGGCCCCAAGGAGATGCCACCAGCGGATAATATAATGCAAAGGTCAGCGCTGCAGCCTCCCAGGCGGGGCCAGGTGCCTGGGAGTTGGGCGGCTGTTGGCTCCTGGGGCGGCGGGG